GAGATATTGCTTGTACTGGTCCTGGTTCTCAACCTTGGCCTTGACACCTGTTGACGATGTGAGTATATTTCTAATTCTGGTACAACGCCGCAGCGTTCGGGGGGGTGTTATTGCGCACCTTCGAAGATCCGGACAGCGGTGGGGAAGTCGTTGACGCGGCGGGCGGCCTTGAGGGCAGCGGAGAGAACCTCAACAGAGGGGACGAGATCGTAAGCGAAGCAGTTGTTCAGGTTGCGCTGGTTAGAAACAGGTGATGTTAGTAACGAACCCTCATACGATTGGATGACGCATTGTCACCCTGTCGGGCCGCGTCTTCGGCAATTGACGTACCTGGAGCTCGAAAACATCCTGCACAGTATCGAATTCCTTCTCGAATCTAGAATTGGCCCAATGTTAGTTGAATTGCTACTGAAGTTGGCGGACCGATCCGGGGAGACAGGAGTCAGCTGGCACCCGCTGAGCTGTTCCCCTGCGACCGACGATCAAGGCTCCCGGCTGGGCCTCAGCTGGCCCAATGGCTAGCAGATTGCGGTAGCGTACCTGGCAGAGAACTGCTCATATGTCTCATCGTCGTGCTGGCCGGAGCGGAGCTTCATGGATGTACTGAAAGCCGGGCGGCCGAAGGCGAGAGCAGCGGGAGTCTGCACCCGGGTCCGGGGCAATTGAGAAGCTCTGAAGAGGCCGGAAGGGCGGACGGCGCGCGTCGCGAGACGGAAGACGGAGAAGGAAGACATGGCGAAGAGGAAGTTTGTGGCGGGGGAGAGGAGACGAATTGACGCTGGAAGACGGGACAAGGTGTTGACGAACTCGAAATGAGGATGAGGTTGAGCCGGAGAGCGACGCTAGGTTTTTTGCGGGCGGGTGGTGTGAGGTGTGGCGGCCTGAGGCACTCATGTCCGGTCATTATCGCATCGCAGGTTGGTCGGTTGGTCGCTGCCTTGGTGCCTGGATCTGCTCGCTCAGGCGGCATTCCGCTTGGGCCCGACATGGCGGCCTGAGGCTGCTGATTTCTATTGTTCGGCTGTGATTGGCCAGTTTCTTTGAATCCCGAACTGAAGAAAACGAAGCCATTTACTTCTCATTTTACAAAGTAGTCTACATTAATGAGCTTATGCTAGTCTATAATAGACTGTTAATTTCTAGCTAGACAGTGGTATTGGGATAGCACTTCAAGTTTAGCGACGCTGGTCGCCGGGTCTATCTGAGAATCCCCGCGATATATATTTCGACACCATCGACAACTACACGAGTGGACACTGTAAACAATGGATATCAAGAAGATGCCAAGGAATGCCATTTACACAGTCTACTGCTACAAACTCTGTTTACCCTCCGAATCCGTGATTACCTATCCCACTTAATTGCCGAGTTGTTTATGGTTTGCATGTGAAAGTGATACTTGAGTTGGGAACTCCCTTCCCCCATCCATGGATGTTTCAGCCCTTCTGCAGAAGCCAATGGGTACTTAATAGAATGCAAGAGCTGCAACTACTGCAACTCCTCCCTGCAACTACAACCAACTGCAACAATCCATCTGGAGTTCAGCTGCTCAACAACTGGTTTCGTAGCTGCACGTGATCTGCCCCTTTAATCTGGCGCTAGCCGCATCGGGACGGGCACCACGGACGCGGCGGAGAGCAACTGGAGCCAAAAAAGACACGCCCGTCCATCCATCGCCAGCTCCATCTTCTCTTTCCCCAATTTCTCGCTCGGTTCGCATCTCAACTTCAGACGCCCGTCCTCCCGGGGTCTTTCTTTCCTTCTTTGCTTCAATCGCTCCCTTTTCTCACTTTGCCCTCGCATCGCTTTTAATTCCGGTTCTCCTAATTGCGACCGGCCCCGTCAGCATCCCCAACGAAAAAATTGAACAGTCCTTCTCTGCACTTTTGACGGGCTCGACTGCGGTTTCAGTGCAATTCTGTCTCTGCGCAATCATACAGACTATACAGCCGTCCGGCATTCTATATAATTACAGCAATGGAGTTTCTGCAGAACCTTCCGAAGCCAACTGTCGATCGGCCCTTTGGCGTTGAGCTATGGCCGATCTTCAACAAGGCCTTCGAGGTTGTGATGGGCTACCCTGCCAATGACTTTCGCTTCGCCGAGGGCAAGACGCCCATGTCTACTCTTCCCGAGACGGCTGCCATGCTCATCGTCTACTACGTGACCATCTTCGGTGGACGCGAGCTTATGAAGAACCGCCCGGCCTTCAAGCTCAACACTTTGTTTATGATCCACAACTTCGTCTTGACTGCCGCCAGCGCCATTCTGTTGGCGCTCTTTGTTGAGCAACTTCTGCCTACCATCTGGCACAATGGAATTTTCTACTCCATTTGCGACCACCGCGGTGGGTGGACGCAGCCCCTGATTGTCCTGTACTATGTGAGTGTGCGAATGTTTGTTGCCGACGGAGCCGGCCCGCTAATGCGTGATACAGCTTAACTACCTGAACAAGTACCTCGAATTCCTCGACACCGTCTTCCTGTTCCTGAAGAAGAAGCCTTTGACCTTCCTCCACACCTACCACCACGGTGCCACTGCTCTCCTGTGCTATACCCAGTTGATTGGTCTGACGGCTGTCCAATGGGTGCCCATCACCATCAACCTCCTGGTGCACGTTGTTATGTACTGGTACTACTTCCAGAGCGCCCGTGGCATTCGCATCTGGTGGAAGAAGTACATCACCGTTCTCCAGATTATCCAATTCGTTATTGACCTTGGTGAGTAAATTACGGACCTGCGATGGACCGGACCTGTAACTAATCAATGCAATTACTAGTGTTCGTCTACTTCGCGTCCTACACCTACTTCACCTCGACCTACTTCCCTTGGGCTCCCAACATGGGCAACTGTGCCGGAGAGGAATTCGCCGCTTTCGCTGGAATGGGCATTCTCACCTCTTACCTCGTTCTGTTCATCTCCTTCTACATTGTCACCTACAACAAGGCCGCCAAGACTGGCCGTCCCCGCCGCAACACTGGCAAGCAGGCCGTTATTGACATGGCGAGATACGAGGTGGCCCCTGCTCCCGGTGCCGAGGCCAACGGCAAGCCCAAGTCGAACGGATCCGCTGCCGCTTCGACAGGACGCTCCAATGGTCCGGTCACCCGCTCCCGCAAGGCGTAAACCCGACATTGCCGGGTGTCGCTTGCGGATTATTTCCCGTATTGATCCCGCAGACTGTTCAACCGCACGTTCGCCGCATTCAGCACCTTCTGCGGAGCCAACGCAGAAAAACTTCTTTCTGCGTGGTTGTATTATGGAGCCGAAGTATTTCTTTTAATGAATGACCCTGATGACACTGGTCGTGCGTGGCGGCCAGATGATGCATGTCGCAGCAGCTTTGGCATCGGAGGTTGCAAAGCTTGGACCGGATGTTCTGCATGAAGGTTAAGATAATTTCTGATGGAGAGTGGGATCTTGGGCATACCTTGAACCATGTCTCGGTGTATTCTACATGTGTTTATTCTTGGGTTTCTTTGCATTTCGCTTCTTGCTGCTGGTTGCAGACCTTTTTTCGTTTGACATTCTTAGTATTTATAGATGGCGGCAACATAAATGTAATCACGGTGTGCTTTCCTGTATATAGTTTGAAAAGAAATGCATGACTTTCCTGTCTCAAGATCCAGGACTGACGAGATGCGAGTTTGGGACGCGTTGCAGGGAGAAGGAGCGCGAAACGAAGAAAGGGAGAAGCCTAACGGTGCAATGATGCTATATTTGTCGACGATGTGATATGAGAGTATGACAGGCCATCCAATATTATAGCACCTCCTATTCATGCGTCGCAAAGCATCTTCCCCACACATCGTACCTGATCACTGCTTGTTTCGGTTCACCTTCCATGTTTCCGCACTCTACTGATGCTATTAATCCCTCTGATTGACTCTTCAGGAACGGTTTTAGAGTACTACAGCGGACCGGGGACGGGACGGTGTCTCACTGTTTAATCTGATATGATCAGTAGTTCGACTGCTGCACGGCAAGCCGGCCCAGGCACTGTTTCAGGTAGAGGGGCAGACGAAGTTAAAAACAGAGAGAGCGTTTCATATTGATATGGCCACCGTTCGGTCGTTGCGTGAGAGCAGCTCTGAAGCAAAGGAGAACAAGAGGGGAGCAAGCCAGCATTTGCACTGATACGGTGATACTGATACGTCTTGGCCAGCGAGAAACAAGCTGCTTATCCAGTCATTATTCGCGATTGGTACAACCCCTGCAGGTCTGCAGCAGAGTCTCCTCAATGCGGAAACAGACCCGGGCGGAGATGCCGGATTCGCTCCTCGACTGGCCTATTTGGGGTAAATGCGTTCTTACGGGATCTATTATTCTTCAGAGCATGGGTCGAGTCTTCCAATGAAGACCACCTAGTTAGGTAGCTTCCTGCAGGGTTGAGAGAGTCTTGACGTTGCTGATGGGTGACCTGTCACACCGACACGCGTGGCTGCTCGCTATTAGAATCCAGACGCCATGGCGTTGGAAATTGCATGACCATGCTCCATGAAAGGACAGACACGACGCAATACTGCAGTTACTGAATTGGATAGGCTTCGAGGCCCAGAATAGGAGGCTGGGCAGTTCTTGCGGTGAGGTGAGCTGGATGTATGCCCTCGCGTGTCGTGACTCGCGAAGAGTTAATCGTGCAGACAGTTTGACAGCCTTGGAAGGGGCCAAGGGGGATCCTTTACATATCTTAACCTACATAGCCATGTTGTGATGCTAAGTGTGGCATTACGTGGGCTGATGAAACAGCATGCTGCTGCCAGAGCGGGAGGGAGGGAGGGAGGCTGGAGAGAGCGCCGTTTGGCCCCTGCGTCAGTCTGCAATGCCATGGCCTCGAGTGATCGAGTCTCTGGGGTAGAGGGTGACGACTGTCGTGTCGAAGGGATGGAACGTCGAGGCTGGGAGACTGGGCCAATAACGGGGGTCAAGGGCAAGCAAGGCGCTGCAGTTCGACCTGCAGTTTCCAAGATATTGCTGCAGCGGCTGCAGCAGGGTCACATTTGCACCGGCTTTTCCTGCATAAACGATGCACAAGCTTGAAGGGAGGCCAGCCACAGAGAGATGGCTGTTTCAGACTGCGACTGCTGGTTCCTGCAGCACAACGGCTGGCCCTCTTATGCAAGTTGGTGGCGGAGGCAGTCGCACAGGAATAAATGCAACCCAACGCTGATCAGTGATGCTGATCTAGCAATGAATGATCGAATGGAAATGCTACTGGGACTGCAGCTTTCCTTGGTCGCGGAATCTGGCCCCCTCGTACCAGACCCCTGAGTATGAAGGACACAAAGGCCATCAAGGACATCGGGCTCAAAAGGAGAGCGTGCATGACGAACCCTCGCAACGCTCTCGTTATCTGAAACCCCCATTCCGAGGCGATCGGGGCCAGGCGTGGGCCAGCAAGGACGCGATGGATCTGCAGGGAGGCAGCGTCCATCTGGAGGAACGGCCGGCGGGGAAATTCTCCCATTGGCCTGTTCGAGAAGTGGAGGAGCCGGACGTTTAAAGTAAAATAAAAAACAAAAAAAAACATGAATGAAAACCGGAATCTGCTGTGCTGGTGTGTTTGAGGTTGAAGATCGCGGCTTGGCTCACTATCAGCGAGATTGACTGATTTAGAGATTTCGGATTTCAGAGATTTCAGCATTCAGAAGTCTCTGTCCGTATCGTAGACTACTGACTCCTGACTATCGAGACGCAATACCTGTCATCCAGGTCTGTTGACTTCTGACACGTCCATCTCTTAGGGCAAGCTGCAAGGGCCGCGCTTGGTCCACCGCGCCGCATGGAGAGCAAGGCTCAGAGTTTCTTTTAGTTACTTGTTTGAGAGCTTACGTCTTCGCTTCTCTGGAAGTGTCTGCACGTGTTCTAGCTTCTCTACGGGCGTTCTTGGGGAGGGAACCTGTTGGCCCACTGGAGAACATGCCAATGCCCACCCGTGTGGGACGCAATACCGGCTCGTTAATATATGAAAAGCCCAATATAATAAGCATAAGCCGGTCTTCAGTCTCTTTCCTGTTGCGGCCTGTCCATTCTTTACCTTTACTTTACTCTTAATATCTACCCTCCCCTGTCCTGCCCTGCCTCTTCCTGTCTTCCCATACCTCCTCTTCTCTATACAAGATGGCTCTGGCCCTCGACCTCAGCTACGTCAACCAGTCCCTCCCCCAGAAGTACGAGTCCGACGAGGAGGACATTTCCGAGTCTGAGGGCCACGCTTCGCCGTTGGACTCGCACAAGAGGTCTGCGACCCTTGACTCCATCATGAGCGTCAGCGACACCGCAGAGCCGGTGGACAGGCCGGCCTTCCCCCGACTGCTCTCGCCCTTTGCCTCTGGCAAGGCTTCACGACCTGTATCCATGGACACCGTCAAGCGTAATAGCGCCGCGACCTTTGTGACGGAGCCGTGTACGATTTTCGACCATGACGACGACGACGACGAGATGATCCTTGAACTGCCCTCTCCCGACTCTACGACACCCCTGCAATCCCCCATCTTCCTCCAGCCCTCGGTCTATGTGCCCTCCGAGCCACTCACCTCGTCGAGGAACTCGCTGAGATCCTCGTCTTCTTCCTACTCTGACGACGACAGCGATGTCTGCGTGGCCGAGCAGGTCACCTACGTCGAGCACGCAAAGCCCAGTATAATCCTAATCTCCCCCACCGCAACCTCTCCGTCTACAGATGGCTCCGTCTATTCCAACGACGAGGCAACCAAGTCCCAGCCCCTGCTCAGCGAGACCAGCATGGACCGCGGACGCTCCAGGTACACGCTTCGACCAGGCCACAGCAAAGTCAAGGGCAGCCTCAGCGCCCTGGACACCCTGCAAGACTGCTCGCCCGGACGGACGGAGACAGAGCCCCAGAGCGCACCAGCCGAGCGAGCACCACGATCCATGTCCTTTGGCGCCCGGTCAATGTCCTTCTCACGGCCACAGACGCCTGCAACCGAGTCTCGCCGACGCCTGCAGAGGGAGCCATCACGCCGACCCCCATCTGCCCAGAGCACGGCCACCTTCTCGCTCTTCCCAACGCAAGCCCCGTCGTACAGCCAGGTGTACCCCGGCATGGGCTCAAACGCAAACGACTCTCGCACCCGCTCCATCTCCATCTCCCACTCCGCCGCCAGCTCCGAGTACTCGCTCGCCTCCAGCCAGTCGGCCTCGCGCACCGCCAGTCCAAGCCCCTACTGCTCCCCGGCCTACAGCCGGAGCCGCTCCGGCTCTCTCTACAGCCTCTCCAGTGTCACCGGCGCTGGCTCACAGGCCAAGGCGAAGCGACCGCCGCTCCCGTATCGTGCGTCTATGATCAAGGGAGCCAGCAGCCTGCGAGAACAGGTCGGCAGCAGCAGCACGGCCCCCAACGGGTCCATGCATACGGATCATGGGGCAGCACAGACGTCGCAGATGGAGAATTCCAAATCCAAGACCCGCCGCAAGAAGAGCGTGAAACAGCTCAAGCCTGAGCCGGAGGCCACGAGTTCGTCGTCGGCGAAGAGCTTTGTGGGCTTCATGCTGCGCGGGAAACGGAAATCGGTGATTAAGAATTTCTAATGCTAATCTTTAGTCTATATTTTCTTTTCTCTTTTTTCTTTTTTCTTTTTCTTTCTGGTTACTTAGTTGTTGGTTGAAAATTAGGGCCTGTGCTGTTTTTTGTCTCCGGGTGGCTGTACATTTAGCGTTTGTTTCAATATCCTTGTCTTTTTTTTTTCTTTCTTTCTATTTCTTTCTGTTTTATTTTATTTTTTATTTCTTTCCGGGCAAACAGGACTGGATGCTGGAGCTGTCTGATTTTACTTATTCCTGCTGTATTATACGACCGGATCACTGGCAGATCCTGCAAACGAAACCATTCTGACTTCGTATTATTATGATTCCACTTCCTATTCCAGTGACCAGATATCCTTATGATTCAATTTCAATCCTGTCCCTCGTTGGACCACGAAATGAAGGGGCGCCGTGCTCCATCCGATCCGCCCGTTTGTAACAGCCCGAAGCTGCCGAACCGCCCACTCGGCTGCTCGGTTGCTTGAATTGGCTCTCAGGCTCTGCCTGCTTCCTTTTAGCCGGTTACAGTACGTAGTCGTAGTATTCTGTGCTTACTGTTCGTGGCATGGCGGGGGATTGAGTTTTCTGAGTTTTTCGCCCTAACCCTGGCTGATGCTCCACTCACTGCCTGTACGGTTGATCCGGTTCTTGACGACGAACTCGTAAATTAGAACTACATCCAATAATTCGACCGATCTTACGGAGTAGAAGAGGATCTGCTCATTCCCAGCCAGAGGAATAATTCAACAATTCCAGTGGAAACAGCGAAACACGCACAGACTGCACTCGGAGCCGAAAGTGATCCAAGACAAGGACTCCAAGACAAGGACCACCAGGCCAGTCTCAGGCGTCCCGTCGTTGCAATCGCCTCGCAGTGACACAGAGGGTCTGGTACGTACCCCCGGCCGGACCGAAACCGAGATCGAGATCGGGCTCGTGTGGACTGGATCGATCTGCGCCTCAGCTCCATTGTGTTTCGGGTGGGTGGGTTCGGAAGGGTGCAGGTGGCAAGAAGCCCAGTCTCTTCTCTTAAGACACCATCTCGTTTAGATCTGGGACTGTTTCACACAGAGGGGAGTTGGAGTGGGTTGAGGCTATGCTGAGATCGCGATCAAGGGTTGGATCGGGATCGGGATCGACATGGTTGAGATTTGACTACGACGGAGATGCTGAGACTCACTGTTTCTATTCTAGTCATTGATGATTTGGAATCAAGACTGCAGGGATTCCTGGAGTAACGCTGCTGCAGCAGAGACGTTTGCTCGTGCATGAGGACGGATTATGAGCTTGTGCCACAACCCTGTCTGGACTTGCCTGGACATCTTGGCCTGTCCTTTCTTGTCCCTTTGTTCTCTTTTGGACGTTAATGCTGTTGCGAGAGAGAGAAAGGTGAGCTATCGGCTCGTGTCACTCTCAGAGTTGGATCAACAGCCATATCCCTGGGATACCTGCATCGACGACTTCGTTTGCACGCATTGATTCATTGATTCATACAGGATCTGTCAGCTCGTTTGCATGTATCTGATCCAGTTGAACAGTCATTCTTGGCCCGAATAACTCCTTTCTTGATCTGTACAGGACAGTAAAGACGGAGACCATCAGCCTATATATACCCTCTCCAAGACTGTTCTGATCTCCCTCCGTATATATTCTCTTCATCTATATATCAGTCTTCTATATCACTCGTCGCTATGATCTGCCCATAGTCTTGTCTTTGCACTTCATCTTCATCCTATCAGTCCTGCCGGCCTTTTTTGAGCACTTATGTGGTGTCTTGACCTCCGATACAGGCCGGGATTACCGCGGCAGCTGGCTAGTATGCACTCCTAGCCCCCGGTCCAGATCAAGCATACTCAGTCAGGTAAGTGGGCTCACCTTAGCCGCTGGATTCTTGCTCTATTGTACATTGACTGACACGAGTTTATCTTCATATAGTCCATTGACGGTTAAGACTCCCGGAGCCTGGACGACTCGAATGATCAGATAAGGTAGACACCCATTCCATTAAATTATCCATGAAGCTGTAAAGGACGTAACTGACAGTTTCAATTCCATCAAGGACGTCCAGAAGACACTACGCGACTCAAACAAGCACCACCACTATGGCATATACCACCAGCTATATACATCCATCGAAAGCTGATTATACTTGTGTTGCCGATTTGAAAGCCAGACTTCGAGTGATATCCAACACACTGTTCAAAGCCAGGGGTTCCTACAGGCCATCTACATACCTTGTTCACAGTGACCTGTAACCTGGACATCCCAATTTCCACTCGTTCTATATTGCTTGTATGTCAACCCCCTGGCATCTTGAGTGTATCTAACTGATTAATATAAGAGCTATCCATCATGTACCTGCAGCAGCATAGCTCACCAACTTCACTTCGAGATCGGCATTGACAGCGACTGCGCCTTGTCTTGCCGAACCCACTCCCCGTGCCCACGAAGCCCACTCACACACCATGCAATGTAATCCAATTCAAGACATTCAACACCCAGAGAAGGGACCACATTCTTTTAATCGCCGCTTTCTGTGTGCTGTCGATACTATCAAGGCATGTGGTCGGTTCTCTGTCAACGCCCGGACGAAGTCTCGGACAGGAATGGCTTCGAATCACAACAGATAAATCCTGTTTGGGAACGAGAGCAAAGGAAAAGCAAAGGAAATGCTGTCCTACCGATCTGTATTCGCCCATAGGCGGGGGAAGAATATCAGTTGTCCCCTTTTGGAGGAGCGCACTGGCCTGTTCTCCGCTGTGCTGGAAGAGATAAAGGATATCAAGGTCTTCACCGAGAAATACTCCCTGGATCAGACGGTGAAAATCTCCAATGAACTGGGAGTTAGCACTGTCCCTCATTCCGCCGCTTGGATAGGCCAGCCAGAGAGCCGTGCATGGAATCTCACCTGCTGTCATTTCCTTTATTACCACTCCCAATATACTCGCTGTTTTTACGTTTTACGCTCTTACTGCTGGCTGTATCAAGTACTGAACAGAGAGTGCTAAACGACACGGGAAGCAGACATGGACACCAGGGATCAATATCACGCCAACAAACTATGAGATTTGATCGTTGCACTCGGAAGAGATGGATATACGGCTGTTTTGCTTCTGCAGAACCTTTATATGCCCGATTATATTGTATTTATGTTTGAAATGTGCATCAGTTAGACAGTATCTAATCCAATTATGAGAACCCCATAACCACAGCGATTGTAAGAATCACAACGATAAACCATCTACAGTCACCAGCATTCCCGGTGAGCCTAGAGTAGCTAGTGCTCTGCAGCACACCGCACCTTGACTCTGATGCTGCCCTAGCTGTGGTAACTCTTGCCCCTTGCGTGGCAGGCTAAGCGAGGAGCAGCACGACGAGTCGACCAGCATGGGTAATTCTGCAGATGTGCCCTCATGCCTATAAAGCCGATGCACCAGTGAGACTGGGTGTCATCTTACAATCCAGACTGTACAGACTGACCGTGCTGGCCTTGGAGAATATGCGCACTCTAGGCGGCCTCGTCTGCTTCCTCTCGACAGTGGCTTTCTCGTTTCATATACAGAGAAGTTATGCAGGAACAAAAAGCACAAGCTACAGCCAATTGCTCCTCAATCAGTCTTGCCCAGTGAGTCCACTCATTAGCCTGCAGACTGACACTTGTCTGGTCAAGCCCAACAATTGCAGCGGTGGCTACTGCATCTACAGCGACCTTGACTTCTCAGGATCACGCGGAATCTCTTTCCTAACGACACCAGAGATGGAAGGCATATTCAGGGAATCTATCCAGAAACATAAACTGAGCGATCGACTCACCGGAATCGCTGTGGATGCATTTGAGCAACGCGATATCCCAGGCAAGGGCGTTGGACTGGTGGCGAAGCGCTTCCTGCAGCGCGGCGAGCTGATCATCAGGGAGCCGCCGGCGCTCATTGTCCACCTAGATGCTGAATCTGAACTGCCTGATAGTACGCGGTTTGAGATGCAGCAGGCCGGCGTGGAGGCTCTCCCGGCTGACACCAAGCTGGAAGTGCTAGGGCTTATGGGCCACTTTGGAGGGGATCCGATTGAAGATCGCCTGGACACGAATGCTTTCGGGGTAATGCTTGGGGGCTCGGAAGCAGAACATAGGGCTCTGTTGACGCAGACTTCGGTGGGTTTTCTCTTCGCGAGTTGCTGTCTTGGTCTACGCTGACACCGAGGAGAGGTTGAATCATGACTGTCGGCCCAGGTCAGTTAAGGCAGCATACAGGCCGCCGTGTAAGACGAAAGACTGACAATCGATCGTCCTAGCTGCATTTTAAATTTCAATCCCAGGACCCTCACGGCGAGTGTTTACACTGTTCGGGATATCCGCCCTGGCGAAGAACTTAGCATTTCTTGTATGTGACATCGATAACGATGAAGCTCGCGCTTACCACTCTAGACATTGACACGAGGACAACGTACGCGAAGCGCCATGCAGCCATCCAGAGCTGGGGATTTACCTGCTCCTGCGCAGCCTGCACGCTTCCACCAGGAGACCGATTCTTGTCAGACGACAGGATCCAGCAGATCAAGCACTATACTGCGGAGCTTAAAGATTGGTCTAACAGAAGCCAAGCGGCACCAGAGATTGCGGAGGCCCTGATAAGATTGTACCAAGAGGAGCAGATTTTCTATTATATCGGGGATGCGTATCGGCTGGCGGCTCACACTTATAGTGGAGTACGAGATGGGTACCACGCATTGCGCATGGCCAGTAACGCCCTCGTATATGGGCTTCAGGCGTGGGATGATATGGGCTCTAGCATGCGCGACGTTCTAGAGTTACTGGAAAATCTCGAGAAGCATTGGAGTTGGGGGAAGCGGTTAGAAGAGAGATAGCAATCTCGAACAGATTGGGTGTACAAACAGCGCCGGAAGCTGCCATAAAGCAATTCGAGTTATTTTGATTCACTGTGCGAGTACGCAATTGAACGCTAAGCATACAAAAGCACTGCAGAGAGCTAGCAGCGCAAGTAACGCGCCCCAAACCCATATACATGGCGGTCTCAAGGGCCTAGTTGGGCTCCAATTACTAGGTGGATGAACCACGGCAACTGTTGGACTTGCAGCGCTGATGACAGCAACCTCTGTTCCGTACTCTTTGGGATCGCCAGGGAATGGGTGAAGTGGCTGATTGGAGCCATCTACGGCCTCTCCCCAGAGGTTCAGTCGCCAGTTGATGAATGTACCCGTGTGGCCATTTACATTGGTGTCCTTGACAATCACTCGCCATGTTCCGATGCCCGACTCGCCCCTATATCATTAGTCTTCTGTAGCAGGCATAGGGAGAGGAGGGGATTACCAGTGTGCAACAGACATGAACTCCCAGTCTGTATAGCCTGTTCTATGCTGGTCCGGCATTCGGGGCGTGCTCAGATAACTGACCACGCCACTTGGGCTGACGAGTTCCACGCTGAGATCACCACGCCGGGTGTGATTGACATTGATAGTGACAGTGACTTGCTCTAATTGCACCAGATTTGCCGCTCGCAGCATCTCCGAAGACACTTCATAGTAACTGGACTGTCCTTGATGGCCCTCAACGATATTACGGTCTACCTCTTGCCATGCTGAATGAAGCCATGCTTGCGGTTTGACTAGTTCCCAGCTGCGAGCCTTTTGAACAAGAGCATATGCATCTACCTTGCCATATCCCCAGTCGTGACTGAACAGCCGTCCACCCGCTGTATCTTGCCAGCTGCCATCAGAGGTATGTACTGGGACGGCAGTTTCGACCAGGAGATACTGAACATCGCGCCAGGTCAGCTCCGGACGCACGCTCAGAGCCAATGCAATCACCCCCGCCCCCAGAGGAGCCGCCGCTGAAGTACCACTATGAAGAGAGAAACATCGATCCCCGTTGTCGGTCGAGTAGAGCCCGTGCCCATGGCCACTACTGTAGGCCACCACCAACTGCGCCGAGCAAGACTCTGCATACCGGGGATGGGTGTCCATTCGGTCAATTGCACCAACAGTAACACTGTATATACTGTTCGTGTAACCGTCAAAGTTGCAGTTATCGTCATTACTGGCCCCGTTGCCAGCGGAGAAAACAAAGACGGACCCCTTGCCACCGCGGCCGTTCTGCACCCCGTTTACAATGGCACGCTGGACCAGGATGCCAGGGGCTTTCATTGTGATCCCGTTATCCTCGGGACCCCACGAACAGGAGTAGATGTGGTTGTTTTGATAGTCGTAGTTGATTGCCGCCGCCTGGTCGATATCGTCTACATGGCCAGACAGCATGCGGATTCCAGATATCTGGCTGTTATATGCAACACCAACACCGCAAATATTGTTCTTCACCGCCGCAATCTCCGCCGCGCAAAGGGTTCCGTGGTGATCGTCTACCAGCCGTGGCCGGGGTTCGGGGCTGTGGTCGTTGAAGTCGTACGACCCCTTTGCGTAGTAGTTTGGCTGCAAGTCTCGACTGTCGAGGTCTAATCCGTCATCGATAACAGCCACAGTGACCCCCTCCCCGGAAACACCGTCTAGCCAGACTCCTGTGACGTTGAGATCGCTCCCAGGCTGGACTGTGTTTAGTAGATGCCATTGCTCGCGGAAGAAAGGGTCGTGGATGCCCAGGAGTGAAATAGCCTCGTCCTGGGCCTGTACTGCAGCCTCATCTGGTTGTTCGAGAAGTGCTTTCTCTGATGCACGTGGCTCTTGCGGTGGAGGGATCCTTCTATGAAGAGCGTCCGCCGGGGCTAATTTCGATGCCCAAAAGGGTACTTCAGAAGCATTGTGCGCCTCTCGCAGCAGCCGCAGTATATCGGCGCTGTTCCCGTCTTTGGCCATGGAGAAAGCATGATGGTCTGGGAGCTCACCAATTGGGCCTTCATGTTTGATACCCAGGCTTAGGGCAACCTCTTCCGGGGATGCTTGGGGAAGAAGCTGGAGGGCAAAGTAGTCGTGAGTCTCATGGGAGCGGCGGAGGATGGCATGCGCTGAGTCCGCTCCGATGGCAAGATATACCACCAAAGCGTGAAAGAGACGCATTGTGTGGGTAGTTCCTCATGACCAGATCGGTTTTGCCTCTACTTTGACAATGCTTGCAGAAGAAATAGCAACCAGCTGATCAAGGTCGTGGGCTGATATCACCCTTGCATATGCAGATCCTGTTTGACTCCAGAAACCACCCCAAGTAAGGGCTTGCAAGTCGGTGAGACTGTTTAACATACCGATGATGATTAGTCTGTTTATTGGCCTCCATCCTACCTATGTACTACCTACAGAGTCCGTCCGGTGCTTTCCCAAGTCCCTTGCAAGACGTAGGGATGCCGGTGTACTGCATTTGAACCGTCCAACAACCCATCATCTGACTCTCTATCTGTTTCTACGCACTTGAGAATGACGTCTGCTCTGCTTATTCTTCCGCTAGTTGCGTGGACCATCGCCGTGGGCGTATTGGGTGAGACGGTAACTGTTGGACATGCAGCTGTGAGTGCTTCCGGCAGATGATGGCAGACTCTAACCTCTTCAGCTTCCAATTGATCATACCGACGCATCTGTTGGGACATTCCAAAACCGCTACTGGGCGAATTACCAGTATTACCGCCCAGGAGGGCCAGTGTTTGTTCACGATGCTGGAGAAAGCAACGCAGAGCCCACCGCGGAGCGCTATCTGGGAGATTCCTCCTCGTACCTGGTAGACTTTCTACGAGAGTTCCATGGAGTTGGCGTCGTCTGGGAGCACCGGTCAGTCTTTGGTCTCCTACTATTCTGCTACACCCATTGACTAATGCATGATCAGTTACTTTGGCGAGTCAGTGCCCTTTCCGGTCAATCTGACCACGCCGTTTGAGCACTTCCAATATCTCACAACCCTGCAAGCACTGGAGGATATTCCAGCATTTGCGCAAACCTTTCGCCATCCACACACCGGAGTAGACCTCAGCCCTCGCACTGCTCCATGGGTGATGATTGGCTGTTCTTACCCCGGGGCGCGAGCTGTCTTTTCGCGGGCCAAACACCCCGAGACCTTCCACGCTGTCTATGCATCCTCCGCCGCAGTCGAGGCTGAAAACAACGGCAATATGTATTTCCAGCAGGTGTACCGAGGAATGGTCGGCCACGGCTATGAGAATTGTACTCGAAGCCTGCGTCAAATCGTAGAGTATGTGGACAATCAGCTATCATCCGGGCCCTCCAATGCATCGGCCATCAAGAGGCTGTTCTTTGGCCCTGGGGCTGAGTATAACTCGCACGAAGACTTCGCCTCAGCACTAGCAGCTATATACAACAAGTTCCAGAGCAATGGAATGGCCGGGGGGAATTCAAGTCTCCCCGGGCTCTGCGACTACCTCGAGCGCACCCCCAAGACAGAAGACTCGTACGCTCTAACGAAACGGTTCGCCTCCTGGCCACCCTTTATTGGGATTATCAACATATATTCCCAGACCAACTGCGGCGGTCAGAACTCCTCCCTCCCATTATCGTGTGATTTATCACAGAAGAGGGCTGCAGATCAAGCGCTTATCTCGTGGATGTGGATGGTGTGCTCGGAATGGGGGTCAGGGACCGGGCCCGCTCCAGAACCCTACCCCATTGTATCCAAGTATATCCTCTCCAACGATAGCAAAGCTGGCATCTGTAACGCGCAGTTTCCCGGTGCCATTGATGCAGGTGCTCTCCCTGCCCAGCCAGAGACGGCCCGGCTTAATCGGGCTACTGGGGGCCGGCATGTTCGGCCCTCCAACACCTTCTGGACTGTTGGCGAGTTCGACCCTTGGCGGTCACTTACGCCTCTGACGGGGACAGGAACAGCTGCCTCCAGCGCAGTAGAGTATATCTTGCCCAAGGCGGAGCATTGCTATGATTTTCGCACCTCCTTATCCTCTGCAAATACTGCGCGAAACCAGTTTGTCGACCATCTGCGGGTGTGGCTGCCCGAGTGGCGCCCAATGTGAACCTTGCCGTTATGCTCGTCGTCTTTTTAAACTATGTTAGGGGTACTCACTGGCGTAAGATGGCCGACCTGGATGAATATGAGATGTAACCTGGTATCTGTTGGCGTTCTTATGCATTTCAAGACGGAGCCTGCTGTCGACATTCGACGTTTGCATAGTAAACGAAGCATTCAATGCAGAGTTGCAAGACAAGGAATAAATATACCATAAATAGCTGTTTTCGAAGAAAGAACCTCTTCCCTCCTTTCTATATGGACGTTGTAGAGCGTTTTCCACACCTGCATGCGCTGGCGTCCAGGCAGGAAGTTACACCAACAGGATAAAGCACAAGAAACAGAAACTAAAAGACAGTCTTTGTTAAATAGTCATACTATATGATCTGTAGTACTTGCCATACTGCTTTAATTTATGCTGGCTAAAGAATGTCATAAGTTGAATGCCGTGGCTAGCCCTAACCCCCGAATAATCAAACGCAGTGCATCGACTCCTGAGCCCGGCCGTGATCCCATGAGCCCGCCAGCTGTGAGTACTGGAGAAAGCTACAGAAACATGCTTCTTCCCCGAATATGCCATTGATAGTAGACCAAGTAACCAATAGCTCAAATAAAACTGAAATCATCCGCCTATTCGTTTCCAGCTTGTCCCGATCCTCAAAATGCGCAGCACATACCGGCTTCCTGTTAGGGTATGGCATTGCTTGCTGTGCCTTCTAATCGTCATCTTAGTTAGAAAGGTCGCCCTCAGCTTCCTGCTCGTCTCCGCGGTAAAGAATCTTGAAGTTAGGACGCTTAGAAAGGTCGCCCTCAGCTTCCTGCTCGTCTCCGCGGTAAAGAATCTTGAAGTTAGGACGCTTGGAAAGGTCGCCATCGGCTTCCTGCTCGTCTCC